GGCGGGGGGTCTTTACTCGCTCTGGGTTTTCAGCGGCATTTCGGCAGCGGGTCCTTCACCTGGAGCGAGTGAAGACACCCCCCCCCCCCCGTCGCCGAATTCCGCTGAAGATCCGGTAGGGAACCGTGCGGTGAGTACAAGCCCCACGTTCCAGTCTTCCCCGCCCCCCCCCCCGCACCCATCCGACCCCAACTCACGTCCTGCTCCCGACTGCCCCCCTCAGAACCCGCAACCCATCAACCCCCCGCCCGCTCCTTGTTCCCCTGACCACCCCCTCCTGAAACCCCCCACCCTAACTGCCCCACAGGACCCCCACCCCCTACCCAACTCGCCCCGTTCCCTGTTCTCTGACTGCCTCGACCCCATCCACCACCACCCCGACAAACCCCCGGAACTCCCACACCTACCCAACCCGCCCCCATTCCCTGTCCCCTGACCGCCTCCCCAGAACCTCCGCCCCCACCAACCGCTCCCTGCCCCTTATCCAAACCCCTCCTCCCAGCCCCGGCCCCCTTACCATGCTGCTCAATGCACTGGGGCTCTGCGAGGGGGGGGAAGCAGGGGAGGGGCCGAGGGAGCTCCCCAGCTGGGAGCTCAGGTGGGCCGGACAGGACGGTCCCGTGGGCCGGATGTGGCCTGCGGACCATAGTTTGCCCACCCGCCGGCCCCTTTAACGACTGGTTCTACACCGGCTTCTAAATTTAACAACCGGTTCTTGCGAACCGGCTCCAGCTCACCACTGAGTGGCCTGAGAAGCGGGAGCCAGGATGCCTGGGTTCTCTTCTCGGCTTTGGGAGGAGAGTGGGGTTTGGTAGTTGGAGCAGGGAGGAGGAGTCAGGTTTGGTAACACCGTCATTGCAACCAGGGGACTGGAACCTGCGTCTCCCACTTGAGTATCTGGTCACAGCCGGTTGCCGGGCTGATGCACACGGGTCAGTTCCTGCACCCACTGTGGACTGGCTCCATCTGTGGGACGACCGGAGAGCCGGCCTCAGCCTCCCACCCCCAGAGCTCCACCCACAGCCCCCGCACGGGACGCTCACCTGTGCAGTTGAACGGGATGCCAGGCTGGCTGCCGCGCAGGTAGCCTGGGGGACACTTGCAGGTGTAACTGCCCCGTGTGTTGGTGCAGATGGAGCTGGGGCCGCAGGGCGATGGGTCCCGGGAGCATTCGTCAATTTCTAGGGGAGGGAATCCAGGTTGGGACTGCGTGATGCTAGAACACCAGGGTTTTACTGCCGCGGGCCGCCCACACCCTCATCCAAAGCCCATTGGAGTCAGGGAGAGTCTTTCCACCAGCCTCAGGGGCCTTTTGGATCCATCGCTCTGCTCTGGGCCAGAGCTGGCTCAGAGCAGTGACCCATCTAGCCCAGAATCCTGCTTTCAACAGTGACTGGTACTAGATGCTTCTGACGATCATTTCAGATGTTCTCATTATGTATATCAAAGTCTAATCCGTCTTCGAAACCTGATCAATTTGCAGCCTCCATGGGATACTGTGGCAGGGAGTTCTGCAGGTTAATACTGCAGCATGTAAAAAAAACCATTTTTCTTTTATCCATTTTAGGGGCTGTATTGTGAGTGTCCCTGAAATGGGTGCACAGGAGGAGGGAGCCCACAAGGAACCTCCCACCAGGCCTCCGCCAGGATCACGCTTTCCGCCATATTCCTCCTGGTGGATCATGCTGTCCCAAAAGTGGGTGGGAAGGAGGCGGGGCCATAATATGTTCCTCCCCTCCATACAAGGAATGGAATCAGGGCTGGAGGGGACTTTTTCTACACCCTGGGCTGCTCTGGGAGGAATTCAGCCACCCATTCCCATGCCACCCTGCCCTGCTCCAAGGCTGGGTGCAGACTGCACTATGGCTTTTCCATTTGATTGGCTGTCCCATGGTTTGGGGAGGGACAGATTGACAGGCAGGGGAAGCCAAGTCACTAAATCTCCTTGGCCACATATATCCCTCTTAGTCACTGCATCACGCTTTCCAGTCAGCGAAGTACTCAATACCGAACCTTCACTGCAAGTGGAAGTGCCACTGCCGGTGACACTAGTGCAAGCTACATAGCAGTGGCCCTACACTACATGGCTCCCCTTCTCCTAGCTGGGTTCAGGAGCTCACACTCACCGTTGCACTTCACTGTTCCATCAGTGAAGTGCTGCTCCCCAGAGCTAGATGCAAACCCACGTTTGCAGGTGCACTGGTAGCTCCCGGGGACGTTGTCACAGGTTGCATAAGCAGGACAGAGAGATGAATCCACGCACCTGTCAGCTGGGAAATGAAGAAGAAACAATTAAATTAATTAATAAGCCTTTGCCCCTTTTGTCTTATATCTTCAGTGTGCTTCATATTCCTTCGTTAAGCCTCCCAGCAAGTGAGGAAGAGTGGGCCTAGAAGAATAGGTGGGTGGGGAGGTAGGATCAAGGCAG